AAAATTTCGATTTCGAAAATATGAAACATACGCACATTCACTTTTCTTTGTAGTATATAGATTTTACCATAGTTTTATTTTTAAAACTATTTAAGCCATCGGAAAAAAGTCGTGACTATTTCTATCCATAGTATACATAAAGTTACTATATAAATATCAGATGTTCGGTTAACTTCGGTATATGTAGATCAAATTCTTAAAATTTGACGTCATAATTATAGTGCATGTTTGCCAACTTTGTCCTTGGACCTGTTGTCCCCATCCCCGGCTGAGACTTTTCACTCCCAAGCGAGTGTCACCATGTTACCTACCAGTCCCCTATCCGTTGCGCCGAAGTAGCACGTGAGCCTACATCGGTCATTGGATAAGCGTGGATCCCATCGCACTTATATCTGTATCAGGAAGAAAACCAGACCACATACTGATGCGGTCCGTAAGCCTGTCGGTGCATACCTGGTCTTGTATCCACTCACACTTCTTACCGGGAAAGATTTAGGCTCAATGGTGAAACATGGTGTGCTAGAAATGCAACACCTCACCACAACGCATGACGTGATTCGAACCCATTGTCCGGATTGTTTGTTTCGTAATTCCGGGCGCATAAACTGCCAATAGTCCTGAAAGTGTCGTGCATGCTTTTATCAGGGCAGGTGGCTGATGGTGAGTCAACGACGAGCTACTCGCCGGCTGGCGGGATGTTCCACATCCATCCCGACATGAGTGGTAGTGTAGTGCATGTAAGTACAAGCGTGTGAAAGTACGGGATGAGGATAAGACAAGGAAGGAAAGATCGCACGCAGTCCGTTTCTCATTTGCTACGCCGGCATTCGCCTGGGGTCGATCGGAGAAACGAGGGAAAACCACCGATCAAAGCAGCCGGCCGCCGAAATTCTCCTCCGGGCGCCGCCGGAATTCGTCCTAGCTACGCAGCTAGTGTCGAAAATCTTGCCAGCGATTGGACCCGAACCCTACGACCGCCCTACAGCCCCAATGTAACCCGTCCGTGGGCGCAAATGCCCACGTCAAGCCCCTGCGCCACATCGACCAATGAAGAGGGAAGAGGAGTGTTAAACCGTGCTTTGAGCCCCAAGCGCTTGAAACGTGATACGCGGATTGGACACCCTCAGCTCGTTTGTACGAACGTGGGCCCGGATTAGGGCTGGCATCCGGCCAGTAGCGTAACGAAATGATTGCGGGCCGACCCGCAATACTTTTATCCGGGCCCCCTTTATAAAAATGTGTAGCAAACACAAGTAGTGTTAGTACCTTAAATAATAAAAAATATTTCCTAAAAATAGCCCCCCCCTTTTACCTGGACCCGCCCGCATTGTGAGTCCGGATGTTACGCCACTGCATCCGGAACCTGGGCTCGGAGCGATTGAATCAAATCTCGCGATTACTGTGCTCCGTTGCTAATCTCGGTTTAAGCGACGACGGAGGAAATCGGATTCGGAGGCCCTGTTGTACTCATTCAGGCGGCGACACCCGCTCAGTATACGGAGCCAATTACGTATTCGTTGCCCACCGGTGGTGTGAGAATTGATATTGGCTTGATTTGAGACGCGTGGGCTATGGAATGGCCAGAAATATTAGGGGTGCTTCCTTTCTCCACTCTCAATATTTACTACGATGTTTAAGCTGACACGCGACACAGCGCATCATTAATGTCAAGTTTATTTACATTCTCTTACTTCATAATACTTAATATTAGTTTATATGTAATACAATATAGATACCGTAGCAACAATCCTATCCGTGGGAAGACAGAGGCCACGGGCATGTCTAAGAGTTAGTATACCGTGCGGCGAACGACGGGTAACAAGAGCTACATCGCCTCAAAAGATTTTTTTTTAAAATTACACATCCAGTGAGTTGATTAGAAATACCTGCCCAATTTATGTGCCACGGGCACTTCACCATCTGTTTCAGGGAAATACACGAGTTAGGAAAATGTGACAGATTTGAATTTCGCGGTCAAGAACCAACCGGAGATGATTCGCAGGTCGCAATTCATTTCGCTCCTGTTGCAAAAGCGGGAAACGGTCCGACGGAAACTTATCACTCGGTTACCAGCCCTATATTTCGACTTTTCTGCAGTGGCCGATGACACTAGGTCATTTTTACACCTCCTGCCTCATAAAATGAATATTTTTAATTAATTCGCGAACGTCCTCAACGGGGCTCGTGGCTTCAGAGATGTGCTTACCACTGTTAAAAAGATTCGTTTCATAAACAGGGGGTGTAACAACGACCTAATGGCATCGGCCACTACAGAAAAATCGAAGTATAGTTCGGATCTTATAGTCACCATCTCGACCAGGTTTTCGTCCAGTTTCCCTGGTCCATAGAGCAAATGCTGAGACGGCCCTTTGTTTTGCTTCTGGACGTGAATGTAGTTCACTTTGCCCGCGTTTTGTCAAACTCTCTTTTTGCTTGTAATGGTAAGAGTAGAGAGGTAAGGGCGAGTTACTACTTTGTTAGCAATGCAGAAAAAATCATACTTGCAAATTCGTTTACCGATGCAAACAAGTTTTCTATAACTCGGGAACGAAAATATCTATTTTTTTTTTCAAATATTGCAAATCTCGCGCATTTTTAATTTATATTTATTTTAAACTTTTACTCGTCTTTCAACTATTTATAGTTAAAATGATGGGAAGGGATTCTGGAACTCGAGAAAACGTGCGCAGATGATTTCCCCACAGGTCACACAAGAGTTTTTACTGTTTTTTGACTAAATAAATGTAAATCTTCGTGACTCTATGAACTGAGACTGACTAGACATATTCACGTCCGTCGCCTCGGGTCGAAATTAAGTTAACGAGTAACCAGTGCTTGATTGGTAAAATTTTACGTACCGGAAAGCGCACCAAATTCATTATTAATTTCATAGAAATATTGTTTTTAATATAATTTAATAATATATTCCCAACGTACCGGAACGCCGGTGCGACGCGTTAGCCACAAATTAAGCCCTGTGAGTAACAATAGTATACAGCAACATAAGGTAGTAATTATTGTGTTAATTATTAAAGAAATGTCTCTATTTTTATAAACACTTATCTAAAAGCTCCGTCCACAAAAACTAAAACTCTTCATGAGCCACTAAATTTGTGGGAAGAATTCCCCAGATCACTGAATTGTATTTATAAAAAGAATTCAGTAAAGGTTGAAGCAGAAAAAAATCCTCAACACTTAAATACGACTAAAATTTTCCTCACATTAACTGCAAACTTAGAGAAACATTAGCAAAATAGATTAAAACGCCACTACAATTCTCAAGAAAGGTTACAAACAAATAACAATAGAGAATGTAAAGAAATTCAAAATATGAAACTGTGTTTTATAACATTAGGTGGTAATATACTTTTTTTAAGAGCAAAGAAAATTATATCCATCACTCATTTAGAAACTCCAAAAAGTGAATGCTAAAACAAGCCAAATCTATTATGAGAATTTCATCAAAGACTAATTTCTGTCCTCTACACCGTAAAGGTCTTAAAAAAGCAGCATCTACATTAATTCAATCCCAACAACATTAAAACCTCAACATATTTTCCATTACAAATATTGCAATTTCATTTTATGTAGTAGTTTCAATACATTCATTTTACTAAAATAAATTTATATTTTCCCCTTTTCATTACTTCCGACACCTTTCAACTAATACATCCCATTTAGCAAATATGTAAAAAATGAGCCAATTACAAATGTTCTATCACAAATTTAAATGTTCAATATTACTTCATTTCAGTTCCTTCCAAAGTTATTACCTAAATTTCTTCGAAAAATAATTTTGCTTCCAAAAAATACAATCATAAAGGTCAGTATAGCAGTGAACTCGTCTTTAAATGCAACTTTAATACGTGACTAAATTACACTTATTAATCATATTCCATTCACAATGTTCAATTGACCAAATTATATTAGTTGGTGACAAGATAAAATACATAAGCATCAGTACTTTGGATACTTCTTTCAGTCATCTAACACAAACTTATTAAAAATTTGCTTGCATGTCAAAGCATTTAGAAATCCATATAAAATATATTGGATTATCCCTCTCATAACAAAAATGTTGCCCCTTAGTAGTTTCTAAACGGAACCCTTTTTACACTCTGCAACCATTAAAGTTTTATTTAAAAGGCTATGCAGACTGAAATAGAAATGTCAACAACTAACATTTCCAAATACTTAAACCATTAATGTAAATATTTTTTAATAAACTGTCAGAACTTTAAAATATCTTTTATCGTTGAAATACTTCAATTTCGAGAATTATCCGTTTTGTTTACAGAGATACTCTCTCACGTCGAACAGTTGGCAACCAGTTGAGTATCCTTAAAGACAAAAATAGAACCAAAGCATCCAATGTTACGGGTCGAAAGTTTCAAAATAATCACATTCGGAACCACAGGCACTGACAGGTGTAACTGGTGCAATTACAGAGATGACGCTGGAGACACGAAAGCGACCGCAACAAAGGAAAATTACAGTCGGCAGTAGGATGAGAGAATTACGTAAGAGTAATAAATTAACCAGCAGAATCTCATAACACAAAAGACTACTCTAGGAGCTGACGGATCCTTTCAAGAAAAACGAAAAACTAGAATGTCATCGAAATTAATCAAAGCTCTATTAATGTCACTCCCCAATTTCATAGCTCTAAAAGTTTCACACGTTCAAAAGTGCCAACATCGCTTACACCTACTCCAAGATAGTAACCGGCAGACACCACCTACCAATCAAGCTAATTGAAACAAGAGGGAAGAGACGTCACTGGAACAGCTGCGACAAGCTACTAAATCAACACCAATTCCACTTCTCGAATGCCTCACTAGTAGTTTCTAGCTTCAAAACATGTTTCGTGACACGTTGACACACGAAAATCAACACAACAAAACATTGTTGCATTCATGGCTTGCGACGAGTAATGTCGCTCAAGACAGATGACACACGACACAAAACACAGTCACATGTCGAGTGAGGGGTATACGCACCTCAACAACGCAGTAGCCTCACGGCAGCGTAGTCGAAGTGGCGAAGCATTGTGCTAGAAAGCGGCTCGCCGCCCTTTTTATACAGAGCGATTAGCAGCACCCGTCGGCCATCTTGGCCGAACGTGAAATCAGCTGCTGGCGGGAGGCGAACTGGTGGTCTGGTCGATGGCGAAGGCGCCACTGCGCAGGACTCGGATGTGCTTCCATCTGGCGGGGAGAAATCGAACTGGTCAAGTTGTTCGTCTTTTATTTGCCAGGGGGAACACAGGAGTGACCAAACTAAGAAACTATTAGATTTACATGTTAGCATCATGGTGGAAGTAATTATTTTCACTATGAACCACCAATTACCATTTCCAAATGGTTATCATTAAAGTTGTTAAGTGGCAACTTTTGGGTCAGTATAACTTAGTATTACATTGGCTCAATAAATCTACTCCAAAACAAGTAAATTATAACAATTTTCAGGATATGAATATTTTAAGAACAATTTTTTTTTCTTTCGCACACTCCACAGAATAATCTTTGTTTAAATGGAGCATTCAAACCCATAAATTTTATTTTATTGGAGGCACTGCTGATTAATTTCCACTGAAACCATGAATAAAACTTAAATATTTCACACAATAAAAAAATGCAAACACTGACACACTAAAAAATACACATATAATTAGATTGCTTACTAAAATTAAAATAAAATTATTCATTGATTACTTGCTACAGGAGTCTTGGAATGCGGATTACAATTCTATTGAGTAAGACATAAATAATGCATACAATAAATATAATTCTTTTCTTTTTCCAGTGCTTTAATTTAGTTTTAACACAAGATTTCTTCTTCAAAAAAGAAAATTAAATGTTTCACAGAGAAACAATTCTTGGATAACACAAGGAATTAAAACATCATGTAAAAACAAACGATGTTTTCTCTCTCCTTTTTTCATTTCTAAGCATCATATCGTATCTCAAGACTTCCACCTCTATTTGAAAAAATACAAATCATTGTTAAGGCAAGCTAAAATCAAGAAACACAATACACATAAATCCACATGTAATTAAATTCTTATT